CCCCTCCCGCCGCCTGTGATGCCCCCCCCGAGACGGCCACATCTGCAGCCGTCCTCGAGCGCGGTGTGAGTGGTGTCCATGAGCGGAGCGCACCCTCTTGCGCGTCGGGGGCTGCAGTCGTACGTGGCAGCGGTGCGCGATTGTGCGCTGAGACAACATTTCCCCCGCCCTCTCTGGCTGTCGTCGCAGCGTTGATGTCGAGGACGTCTTCCGGTACTGCCCGCCCTCCTGCGCGTCGTCTGTTGCCAGCGTCGTCTATCCAGAGGCCTCCAGTTCCCCGCCTAGACGACTTCCGCTGCAACGGCACACCGTCAGACTCGTCGAAGTCCGTCCCCTCCTGCGTCGCCACCTCCTCCGACACCCAGTCTTCATCCACCACGTAACTTCCATGTGACGGGCCGCCTTGGACGATCTTCCTCTTCTTGCTGGCCATGTGGCGGCCCTTCTTCTCCTGGATCGGCGGTTGTTGTGCGAGGTTGGCGGCGGCCTTGCCACGTCCAGAACCGCGGGACGACATGGCGCAAGACACACCCACGTCAAGCTTGTTCGCCCGCTTCGTTTCGATGACGTGCCTTGCGCTATCGAAGCCAAATGTCAACTGCGATGGTGGTGTTGGCGACGTATTCGACGACGGCCCGCAACAGCGACGATGATGGCGATGATCACTTGGTATGCGATAATGGCCACGTCCGCGGTGACGATGGCGATCTCGACAACGAAGGCGACGATGTTCGGAAAGGCGACGAAGGCGGTGAAGACGATGGGCGAGATGATGTGCACGCCAGTCATGAATTCGCCGAAGATAACTGCCAAAACAACGCAAGCGGTGAAGATGGCTACGTTGACGACGGACGCAGTGATGATGGCGATGACGGCGACGAAGGCGCTGACGATGGCAATGATGGTGATGAAGGCGATGACGTTAAAAAAAAACGACGATGGCGATGATGGCGACGAAGGCGCTGATGATGGCTACGAAGGCGACTCACGCGGTGAAGATGACTGCGATGGCGACTGAATAAGCGCGGCGGGCGGCGGGGACTGCGTCAGGGAGAGAGAAAGTGTTGTCGTGCATTTGCGAAGAACGCCCGCGTCCTTATAAACAAGTGTCACGCGGGGTGGACGACAACGAAGGAGCTGCAGGAAGGTCAGTCCAAAGTCATTTCCATGCTCCACCAAACGATATGAAAAGTGCAGGGTCATCGCGGGGGGCGAGACGAAAGGCGAAGGGTCTCGGGCGAGACTGTCGTGCATCCGCTGCACCGCCACCCATCGTCTCGCCACCCGCCCTCGATTGTGGATACGGAGGGACCCCCCAACCCGAAATTCTGCCCCCAGAAATGACTCCATCCCACTCCCCCATCGTCCACACTCCATGCCGGCCAGGAATGTACCCAACGACC